TCTCTTGTTCAACGATTAACTGTAACCGAATGATTATCTATTTGATTTTATAACCGTTCTTCTCCTTTCCTTCTTTTAATACTCAAACAAAATGGATAAAATGGTCAGAAAAATATCATAAAGGATAATTTTGCCATTTTAAAATTGTTTAATGTGCTCCTAATGTCACSTAATGGTGTTGACTAATGCTCAGCTAATTTTGATTAAAAACACTTGATTTATTAATATATAAATAATTTACTAATTTATGACATTTTTATTAAGATTATATTATTAAAAATTAAAACTTAAGTTGTCAGTAAAATCGAGTCTAATAAGATGAGACCTGATTATCCCGATTAATGTAAAATCGAGTCAATAATCCGTTTGCAATTGGTACAAGTTGTCCCAACCCAAATAAACAAATCCGACCTATTAACAGCCCTATTAGTATTGAGGCAAGAAATTTTGTTATCCATAAAAAAGGCAATTAAGTTTTATTGAAAATGTTATTGATACGAGAAATTTTATTTTCGAAAAGGAGAAAACAAAGGATTGAACAAAACACTTATGACCCTTAAGAAAATTAGAGAGAAAGAAAAGTATCAAAATATTAACAATTTCATTAGAAAAACTAAATTTGGCAGAAAAAGAAAATAAAAAAAAAAGAAATGGAAAACAATAAGGCTATGTTTGGTTTGAAAAAAAAAGGAAAAAGAAGAGAAATGTACAATACTAAGTTTTTCTTACCTTTATCTTCAAACCAAACATAGCCTAAGGGAGGGGAAATTTGGGTTATAGTTTCAGCTAGAATTGAGGTGGCAACCCAAATGAGTGCATGTGCTCTCTAATGTCAATCTCTTTCCAAGTGACAAATTAATGGACCAACAAGCCTCACAAGTGTCACACAAATGTCGGTTTCTTTCCTTGGTTATATTATTAGGACCAAAACAAAGGAGATGAAATGATTTATTATCGGTGGGGAGAAAGTGCAATACACATTATGAGGGCTGGCTGATATGGATAGAGACATTGTATGAGTGAGTAACCTAGAATCTTCCTTTTAGGAGGGACATTTGAACCTGTCATATCATCACACCACAATCCATATGGCATAACACGGTATATATGTGGCCTTCATATAACACCAACCGATTCCAGCTGCTTGTGCTCTCCGATCTCCATGCGTGTCCATTCGAAGTTTCGAACTCCCCTGCAACAGTAGCAGTCTTGGAGGCGAGTTGGCTTAGTTTCGGTGTTCCTTTCAAACAAGAGAGTCAGAGAGGTTAGGTCCTCTATTCGTGATAGATGTGAAATCGATCTCATTCAAAATTACAAAATAAATATTGGAAACAAGGAAATATGGCTTTTATATGCAGCAGCTGCAGTGTCTTGTGGGTAATACTGGGGAGTGAGTTGGGATCTTCTCCTAACAAATAACTGTTCCAACACTTTTCAACATGATTTGTATGGGCAAATGTCTCTATAAGGCTGCGACTGACCGTACGTGTACGAGATGTGTGGATGCATATCATATTGGAACAGTTTTTTTGTTGGGAAAAGAACCAGATTTATGGGTAGAGCTTTTGTGCTATATATTGTTGGCCCTAAGTAAATGAACTTATCCGAAAGTATTAATTTCCTGGGAAACTAATACCTCAAACCAACTTGGTAACTTATCCATATGCATTTGTAACATGCAATTTGACTAATATTTGCCCGGATAAATGTATTTATCTAACTAATCATATCTGAATGTTTTTTGGCGACTTGTTCTTTCGTCGTTGGTGTTTGTTGTTATTAGCTTCTTCCTCTCTTTTTTTCCTTTTCTCGGTCTGATGTAGTTTTAATTGAGACTCAAGAGCCTTCTTTGTCTTGATGAATTTATCAGCTTCTTTGAGGAATGTCTTCTTAAAAGGAGGTGGGTTCAACTTGAGCTGCCAATAGAGATTAGGGTGGCAAACTCCCTTTTGAGCTGTAATGAGCTGCACGACTGGGTCAAGGTTCGGTACCTGTAGCCTTTTCAAATTGAATCTTTTGATGTAGTCCCTTAGGGATTCATTCTCCCATTGGACGATGTTCAACAAATTCATCACCGACTTGGGGCACTTCTTTCTCGTGGCGAAGTACATAGTGAAAAGGTCTACGAACTGGCTCCAACTTTTGATTGAGTTGGGGGTAGGCCTCGATACCACAATCTCGCAGTGTCTTTGAAGGTCATACAGAAACAACCTTCATCTATCTCGTAGAGTAGCATTAAGGATTGGAAGCTATCACTATGATCGTTGGGGTTGGTGTTTTTGTCATATGTCTCCAGGACAGGTGTCTTGAAGTTCTTTGGCTGCGGGGCTGAGAGAATCTCTGGTGCTAAAGGGGAAGGTCGTTTTAGTGGAATCAAGGTCGGATGAACTGCTACCGAGCTGACTTCTTCCCTTCTCTTCTCAACTTCTATAGTAGGGGCGGCACTGCTCTTTCTGGTAGTACGGTGTGCGCATCTACGATGTCACTTCTTGGTCACCTCGTTGGTGCTGTTCACTTCGGTATTTGACAAAGTCTTGGCCCTGGCATTCTCTTGGTCTCTAACATTATCCCGGACAAGGGGCAGGTCCCGGTCTCTGACATTCTCCCGAGCAAGGGCTGGGTCCCGGTTGCCGAGGTGATAGGAGGAATCCCAGGCTGGATCCTCACACCTCACCCTGGGTTGCTGGTTGCTGGGATGCTGGTTGTCTTGTTGAGGGCACTACTGGTGATGTTGGGGGTGCTGATGCTAATTACTTTGTGACTGGTGAGGTTGGTCGTTCTATCGACTATGTTGCAGCTGGTTGTTTTGCTGGTCGACCACAAGGTGTCGGGGTGGCGATGGATGCCTGATAGGTACTAGATCCCGAGGTGGTGTTGGACCTCGGAGTGGTACTTGGTCTCAAGGTGGAGATGGTCCTCGGGGTGGTGACTGGCGTATGTTCAGCTGGTTCTGTTGCTGTTGAGGCTACTGGGGTGACATGTATGCTCCGAACCTCTCCTCCCATGCTCGTAGTTGCAAGTTCATGATTCTAACATTCAACACCAACTCATAGAACTGTCGTGCATCTATCTTGGCAGGAACCGTAGAGGGCTCTACCGCTGGGAGAGGGACACTCACACGAGGCATATGTGCATTAACTTGTTGTAGAGGGAACGTTGGGTTCTGGACTGCCGATACTCTTGGAAGAGTGATGGGCACTATGAATTGCCTGATAGTCACAGAGGGGATCTCTAGGTTGATTGCTGATTGATCTTGCCCCCCAGTGGCAGGCACTTCGACGTTCTTATTGTTGTTATTGCTGGAAGATGCCATTGTAGTTTGTGAAAGTAAAAACTAGAGGGTAGGAACCTGGCTTTTTGTCGTAGTTTTCCAAAGACAACGCTAATTGATGGTGCGCGATCAGAATGCTCTTACCTGGAGGGCAGCTTGGACATTGGTCCACTTTGTTGGCCGATCGAACTGTAAAAGAAGAAGAAGGCTTAGAGGACCCGGGGTGGCTTACCCGATGTGGGTGCTTCGATGCTTAAGTTAGTACTTTGTGTGTGAGCTGAAAACTTGTATGCTAGAAGGCTAGTGAGCAAATAATCGCGCATACCTTGTGACATTGAGGTTAGTGCCCTTATATAGGTGAACTACCATAGGTCTTACGAAACACCTCCGAGATCCCTGGCTCATACTATTAGGAATTCGTTCTGCACCAGGAGGTGGACTTTGGTTAGCTAATAAGGATTATTGAGTTCATCCAATCTGGGCCGGGCAGGATAAGGATAAGACTTGCAGGCATGCAACATGATTCTAGAGAGCTCGGAGACAGTTGGCCACGTGTCACCTCGTCAAGTTGGGCCATCACGAACTACTCAGGCCTCGGTTTTGGACGAAGTACCCGAGGTACCTGAGCTGACCTGACCCACAAAGATAGGAGAGAATGTCGAATCATCAGCCAATCAATAGATCACTTCCACGTGTTTAAGTGTTGATAGGTCGAACCAAATTATCCCTAATCAGTAACTAAAAACGAACGATACTAAAAAAAATAATGGGTTAGAGTCTGATTTCACAACATGTACTGGCCGCACATCAGAAACATCTCCTGCATTTTGTATTTATTATTCATGGGGAGACCCCATGTTCCCAAATGGTTTTGTTTTCTGTAATTTTTAAACCAAAAAACAATAGGTATGTCAAGTGACAGCTGGTCATCATATTCATTTTAGATGTTAGTGTTACACATTAATTTTGAAAAAGAAAATAAAGCATGACCTTATCATCCACCATTTCCTCTATTTTAAAAGGAACAATGTTTTCGTTAGGAAAAAACTTGGGTCATTCCTGGTTTGTTTCACCAGATTCACCGTAAAATTATAGCGTCAGACCTCTTTTTGTTTTTTAATAGATAATAGAAACAGAAGGCCAACTCTTTCGTTAGAGGCATGACACATTGAGAGAGCTAGCATCGGACGTCCAATGTTCTGTTTACTTAACTATCTAAAACACATGAAAAAAAGGGTTAGGTTTAACCAAATTCATTTATTTTTTTTTAATATTTTGACCTTTTAATCACTTATTATATTTTATCCCTAATTTTATTTTGTTTTATTACTGCCTGTAAGTCGTAAAGAATGTAGCTTTCATAGATAATAATTTAATCAAAATGTCATATTTAATAAAAAATTGAATAAATTTTTGTATCCTCAATAATTGCTCAGTAGTAAAACTGTTGTCCTTATACAAAACCCAAATTCTAAAGCTTCTTGATTAATACTTGAGAAGTAGTAAAACTATGAGTGTGTTCAAATTTTTTATTTTTTGGTTTGAAACTTGGATATAAACGAATTTCTTTTTAACTTTTGAATGGGGCATTTCGGGAAATTCAGGAAGAAAAGGGCATATGAGAAATAATTTCAAATTATCGGGGCGAAGTAATTTGAGAAGCACTTTTGAAAAATCGCTACAAATAAGAACGCCTCTGAGAAACGCTTCTACTGGCTATTGATGTTGATTACTTTTTACTCCCTCTTTCCCTCCATCGCAAGTTCGCAACCACCATTCTCTCTCTCTCTCTCTCTCTCTCTCTCTCTCTCTCTGCCATATAATCGATTGCAGACTCTCCACGCCTGCTGGAATGTGCCATCGTCGAAGCTCGAAAAGCTGGAAATATCAACTTTTCGCCTAGTTCTGTTCCAGCTTTATTCAGCAAAGGAGCACATAGGAATCGATTGGTACTCGAGAGTACTCTCACAGTTCTCTAATCTTTTTTTCTTCTGGAGTGTTATCTGCAGCTTCCTTTAACTCGTTCCTTGTTATTCCCGATACCTATCGTGTTAGTGCTATTGCATTTCTGGTTTCGGATGAGTACTAGCTGAAGAAATCGAGGTTCACGGAGTTGAGTTGTACGTTGATTTCTAACTACACCCGGGTGAGGAGAGGAGTTGGGAAGTTCAGATCTGCTGAAGAACTGTTGAAACTCTGAAGCTTTTCGATTTTCTGGAGTTCTTCTTTTTGCTCTATTAATTTTGACATTTAAGGGAGATTCGTTTGGTTTAACCAATGTAATGGGATTCGGGAAGCTTAGAGCAGATTTACGGACAAAAAACGTCATCTAAGCAGCTTTGACAGCTTCAATTTTTTAAATTGGACAGAGATTTCTAGTTTCTGCCTTTGGTTCTCGGTGATTCACGCTATTACGCGGATCTCGGAGAGGAAATACTCCCTTCTAATCTTTTTCAAGCTATTCCGAGATTTTCGGGTTTTGCTGGATGCGCGCAGATCCGCGGAGCAACTTTGGTGAAAAGTTGAGGTGCTTCAGATCTCTGATCTTCTTGCGGCAAAAGAAGCGGCAATGGTTGCAGAACCTTGGATTTTAAAGATGGGGAACCAGGTAAGTAACAATCTCAAGCACGCTCTTTTGCTCGAGGCTTCCAAGAAAAAGAACGCCAAAAGACCAGACCAACCAAAAGAGACCATTGGCATTCTTTCCTTCGAAGTCGCGAACGTCATTTCTAAAACCGTTCATCTTCACAAATCCCTAACCGACCCCGAGATGTTCAAGCTCAAAAACGAGATCTTGAAGTCCGAGGGGGTCACGAAGCTGGTGTCCTCTGACGAGTCTTACCTTCTCGAGCTCGCTCTCGCTGAGAAGCTCGACGACCTGAACCGTGTTGCTGCTGTTGTTTCTAGGCTAGGGAAAAGGTGTACTGAGCCTGCGTTGCAGGGCTTCGAACACGTTTACTCTGATATCATTACGGGGGTAATCGATGTGAGGGAGCTGGGGTTCCTGGTGAGGGATATGGACGGGATGATAAGGAAGATGGAGAGATACGTGAGCTCCACTTCGAATCTCTACAGCGAAATGGAGGTTTTGAATGAGTTGGAGCAGGCAACCAAGAAGTTCCAACAGAATCAGCACGAGGAGAGTCGCCGGGCCTTTGAGCAGAAGGTAATCTGGCAAAGGCAGGATGTGAGGCATCTCAGGGATGTTTCACTGTGGAACCAGACATATGATAAGATTGTTGCTCTGTTAGCGAGAACGGTTTGTACCATCTATGCTAGGCTCTGCATTGTTTTTGGAGACTCTGTTTCGAGGCTAGATTTTTCCGGCCTTTCTATTTCAGGATCAGACGCTTCTTCTGCAGGAGAAAGTTCATCTCCCGTTCAGGATGAAAGCAGGGCGGTTTCCGGTCAGATTGATGGTAACCATCATTTCCAGACGGTCTCAGGGCCATTGAGATCGGCTTCAAGAAAGGCTCATACATATAACTCAGGACCACTTGACAGAGGTAAAGTCGAGAGGACCACCTCTAGGTCTGGATTGGCAATGCAGAGAAATGACATGACTTCATTTCGTCCTGATGATTTTAATCTTCCTCCATGTGGAGCTAGCCCCGGGAGACTTTTCATGGACTGCCTTAGCTTGAGCAGTTCAGCTTCAAGGATTGATGATGACTTAGAATATGGAGACCATTATAGTCGAACTTCGGGTTGTTGCAGCATCGCAAATGGGTTTAGTAGAGAGCTCCCGCATTCATCTGGTTGCTCTAATAGGGTTGAGTTGAGCGTTCCTTTCAGTGGGGATCAACGACAATCCAAGTGTAGCACAATTAACAGCAGGTCACGGTTTGGCCCCAAAAGTAGATTACTGTTACACGCCCCTCCATCCACTATTGGGGGTTCTGCTCTTGCTTTGCATTATGCAAATGTCATAATTGTTATTGAGAAGCTGCTTCGCTATCCACATTTAGTTGGTGAGGAGGYTAGAGATGATTTATACCAGATGTTACCAACGAGCTTAAGAATGTCTCTGAGAACAAATCTCAAGTCTTATGTCAAGAACCTTGCTATATATGATGCTCCTCTTGCCCATGATTGGAAGGAGACGCTAGATAAGATACTCGCATGGCTTGCACCACTGGCACATAATATGATCAGGTGGCAGACGGAACGTAATTTTGAGCAACAGCAAATTGTTACTAGGACAAATGTTCTTCTGCTTCAGACATTGTATTTTGCGGATAGGGGAAAGACAGAGGCAGCTATCTGTGAGCTTCTTGTGGGGTTGAATTACATATGCCGCTACGAGCATCAACAGAATGCCTTGTTGGACTGTGCAAGCAGTTTTGATTTTGATGATTGTGTAGACTGGCAATTTCCCTATTGAAGGTCTTATATTCGGAGACCCATTATACTTGTATGCAAACAGGACTTGAACATGAAATGGATACAGATGTTGGCACTTGGAAGCATCCCTTTGTATACAAATGGTTGGATGTTGTATTTTATTGCTAGGTATGGAAAAATATTTGACTTGTATTGTACAGTACTCCAAATTATTTATAAAACAAGTAGACATCCCAGTTTTATTCCTCTTTCTTTCCTAAAGAAGTGACTAGATGATGGCAATGCACAATTTTGAATTTTTCTTGTTTTAGTTGAGTATTGTTTTATCAGATGAAACGATTCTAATATTAATCTAATATATACTTGGAGCAGTACCTGTAAAACCATAATATTAGTTAACCATTTGTTATCAATGTTCCCATTTGGCCATTCATCTCACTTTGTTGTTTGTTTCGTTGTGACCGTTGAGTCATTTGGTCTCTTTCCTCATAGGAAGTGAATAGCAAGACAAATGATTTAGAAACAAATGCCATAGTTATGACTTATACCGTGGATTTCAGCTTAGATTAAGAAGGATGTGTAGCCAAGCCTGTAACACATGCCTTCTATAAATTGCAAACAGCACCGTCTTTATTTGGAATTCTAAACTCTGTATCTCTTGTTAAATTTACATATTTGGAAGTGAATACTGAACAAGGGAAATTAACTGATGAATTTTCAGATCTTCATGAAGTAGACAAGGCCAACATGGTGGGGCTCATGTGGTTTTACTTAACTGTGACTTGCATTTCTTTTGCACTTTTCTAACATGGTAATTCTCCTAAGTATGTAAAAGAATGTTCTAAAGTATTTGATGATTCTAAAGGCTCGTTGTCTTTGCTTTAGATGCACTTTGCTTTATCTTTTTCTTTGTAGAAGAATTGGCATCTAGGGCAGTCATTTTTACTCTTAGTTTCAGCTTCTAATTTTCTTTTTCGTTTACTTTCATGCGGAGACTCTTTCTCCCAGGATCATAATCCCAACAAAAACAAGGGAACAGGAAATATCATACAGAAGGTTTACGGTCTTGCTTATAATGTAAAAACAAAATGAGGTTTTGGCAGTAAGGAAGCTCTTTCTTTTGCATCAGAGCAATTATCTTGTCTACCTAGAATGACTGGTGCTGGAAAGTTCAGATGAATCCAGCTTCCTTTTGTTCATTCAGTCTGATATTCAATTTTTGAAGGCTGAGAATCAGAGCCTTTATTCCTAAAGGGCCATTACCCAATATTGGTCCCAGCTATCCGGGGTCTTGGGGGGTGTGTATCGGGCATAGAACTTTGGCATTTTTTTGGACAAAGTGGCTATTGTAGACTGGAACTACATTCTCATGCCTGCCAGTCTGAGATTTTACCATTGCACCAAGCAATAAGTCCTAGGGCCTTTATTCCTGTGAAAAGAAAAAGCTTTTTACCCCCTAAATTATAAAACAGTAACCCAATATTAGAGCTTATTTCCTTTATCAAAAAAAATATTACAACTTATTTCCCACATCATTATGGAAGTGGTAGAAACAGAACATCGTTCCATTCTTTAGTTTACAGCCACAATACCCAAGTTCTAACCAAAAAAAGAAAAACACTTTACATAAAGTGCAAAGTGAGGTTGCATCTTTATTTTTCGGAACCGACTCCTACCGGCATATCAACTGATTTTTCTGTGTAATGTCTTCACTTGCATATCAACTGAAACTGAATGGATTGAAATAAAATAAATGAAAAAGCATTGAGAGATCAATAGTAATTTAGTTTCTTTTGATTATTTTTCCCTTTTGAGGGGGAGCATATGGTGTGGTTGTCCCCATATTATGTTTTTAGGTGCACAAAAATTGATGGGATATTGGAATAATTAGGTATGCAAATTGCAAAATGATGTTAAACTTTGGACAACCTAGGTTTTCACTGTGTATAAGTGGAGTGGATATTGGTGTAATGGCATTGCCAACATTGGAGTCTGTGGAATTACTGAACATTTAAATATATGCGAGCAGGAGAGAACATAATATAATACGTAATAGTGTCATTACATATATAAAATCTAATTGCTTTTATTTTGTAGCTCAGATTGCAATGCTCAAACTTAGACTGCGGTGGACGGTGGTTACACTGCAAAGAAAAACTGATGTGGTACGCTGTTTCAGTATGCCAAGCACGCTTCATGATATTCATGAAAATCTTGTGGACTTTGTTGTCTTTCGTCTCATAAGCATTTTTGGCTGCAAGAAGAAAAAAGTGGGTAGGATTCTTACCTAGTACATACGACAGCATTCTGAATCGCTGCCGATCGGATCTTGATAAGCGTTAGACGAGTCTGCTTGAATGCTTCTCTTGAAGGCTCAGTTTGGAAAGAGTACAATTGTACAAATACAAATATGTAGTGTACAGTGCAAAAATATGTATTTTGTATTTCTAAATCTTGTTTTGCACTGTATATATTTGTATTTATACTCTTTCCCTAAGGCTGTGTTTGGTTGCAGTGCAATTTTATTTGCACTAGTACAAATTAAAAACTTCAAACTCTTGTTTAATTTTATTTTGGGTTTTACTTTATTTTGTTTCATGTCTTAATTTATTTCATTTGTACTGTAGTCAAACAAAATAAGCTAAAATTTGAAATAAAAATAAGTGATAATTTATACTAAAATAACTGCCATAGTTTCCTTAGTGCAAATTTATTTGCATTGCAACGAAACACAGCCTAAGGCCCAGTTTAAAAAGAGTACAAATACAAATCTGTCGAGTGCAAAACCTTGTATTTTGTATGTATTATACTCAAGGTTCAAAGTATTGATACAGTCCGATATGCCAAATTGGGTGTATCGGACTTTGTATCAACACTCTTTTATATATTCTTTTAGTTTTTGTTTTTTTTTTCTTTTTTTTTTCCAAAATATGTTCAGGGGGTTGGTTAAAGGCCTGGTTACCCCCTGAAACAGGTCTTACCCCGAAGCTCTTTATATTTTGCATATTTACGTGACAAAATTTTGAACCTTGATTGTACTGTATATAATTTTAATGGGTAAAATGCTTAAACCTCCCCTAATGTTTCTTATAAATACTGAAACCTCCCCTCCTTTTTTAAAGGGTTTTTTACTGTTCAGTCCACCCTAGAAATCTTATCTCAACCGAACAGTTGAGGTAGGTGCCAGCTCAGAATTGATGCTAATTCAAGGGCAGGTATGGGTGTTATAGGTGGAGTTGTTTTAAATTTTGAATTATTGTAGGTCTACAGTTCAAATCAGAATTCTGAGGTGGAGTGCAGTCTAAAAATCCCTTTTTTAAATTGGACTAAGTCCTCCCTTGTCAAATTTATGTCTAATGAAATTATTAACCCATGTTAAATCTTTAAATTTTCAAAATAATGGGATGCCTCCACCAAGCATGATTGCACCACCGCCACTTCATCCTAGGATGCCTCCTCCACCAGGTGGCATTCATGTCTTTGGTCACACTTTGCCTTGGTATGCCATCACCACCAAATCCTTAGGTTGCGTTTAGTTGCAATGCAAACGCAAATATGTACACTACATATTTACCCATTTTTCGATTCATGAATGTAAACACGGTTCACATTTTAAACCGTCTTTGCATTCATCTTGTTGGTTGAAATTGGTGCAAAAGTGTGGGTCCATCATTAAATGCTCCAACTATCTTATACTCCAATGCCTTAACTTTGGCCAAAATGTTAATTATCAAAAGAACACAAAATTGTATACAAAAAATAGGTACAATAATGCTCTTTTTTCAGAGTATAAAAGTATCAGAAAATACATTTTTACTTTGATAATCATTACTTTTTTATGTATCAAACAAACGCTCGCAAACGCGAACCGAAGTACATAAATACCCTAGTTTGACATTTATATCACAAACAAACGGGGCCTTAGCAGCAACAGAATCAACAACAACAATAATGATTTGATTTATCCTTAAAGTTTAAAGGCGATGAAGGGGCTTTAACTACATTGCGTATCGTTCATTGCTCAGTTTTTAGTACTCCCTGATTTGCCAAGGTGGAGACTTGAGATTGGTGTATGGATTACTTGTTTAGTTTTTTCCATCACAACAACATAATTAAAGAATTGCTTTTAGCTCTTTAGAGTTACTTGGGAACACGGTTCAAAATATCGATATGCCTGATATGCCTTCGATGCCTTTTTTATTTTTTATTTTTTTTTGCAAATGGTTCAAGGGGATTGGTTTAGGGCTCCTCCACCCCCTAAACCGGTTAGACTCCCAATGTACCCATTGTAGGGGCGTATCGGAGGGGCCCCAGAATGATACGTATCGGCCGTTATGTGTCGATACTTTGAACCTTGCTTGGGAAATACTTTTGCCTGAGTTGTTTAGCCAGTGGAACTCAAACCATATATTGGGCGCTATGCAAGACAATTTCCTTAATTGTTGACTCTAGTTTAAAGAATGTGATATATTGAATGTGGTTTTAGTGTGTTCACGTAGCATTTAGGTAACCTTGCAAGTCTGGTGTGCTAACTAAGGTTAGAAAGAAAAAAAAAATCTCCCTATTGTTTGTTCAAATATCTCTAATTAGTCATTGCCAAACAATTATAAAGGGGCAAAGTTGGGTTTTTAAGAAAATTAAATGTCACAATTTATGCGGATCTTGACAGATTATTAATGAGATGACATCAACTATTAGGGGAGCTTTTAGTCTAATTTGAAAAGTGAAGTTTCAATATTTATAGTAAATACCAAGGGGGAGGTTTAAGTCTTTTACCCTAATTTTATTTCTACTCTTTTTAAATTGAACTTAAGGCTGTATTTGGTTGCGGTGCAAATGCATTTGCACTGATGCAAAATTATGATAGTGCAAATTATTTGGGTGCAAGCTTTGATTTATTTTCGTTTCAAATGTTACCTTACTTTGATTGGTTGCAATAAAAATGAAGTAAAATAAGACCCAACATAGAATAAAGTAAAACAAAAATTTGTATTTTTTTCATTTGCACTCTTATACATTTGTACTAGTGCAAATGAAATTGTACTGCAACCGAACACAACCTAAGTCTTAGTTTGGAAGGAGTAGAAATACAAATACGTACAGTGCAAAACCTTGTATTTTTTATTATTTTGTGTGTATTTGTACTGTACATATTTGTATTTGTACTCTTTCCAAACTGAGCCCAAGAAAATCAAATATTCTAATTTTGTTGCATGTAATTAACTGAAATTTATATTATCTATTACTTGTGATCAAATTTCTTATTTGGTTATTGGAAAGTCTAAAAATAGGAGGGCTCTAATCAAAATTTCTTAAACTAACCTTATGGTTTAGCTAATTAATTAACTCTACCTTTACTGTTTACATATAGTCTTAGAGTACCCCTGTGTTTTCTGACAATTGTCTAAAACCTCCCTTACCATTAGCTTTCCGTCACATGCGACATCACGTGATTGATATATTTTCCAAAATTTTTTCAAATACCCTTTCGTCTAAGTTCACTCCATCTCCATCTCCATCACCGTCACCAGTGAGGGATCTTCGTCCAAGTCTTAAAACACCCTGTTGCTCTCAAGACCGGTCTCTATTATTGAGCACCACTGCTGTTGGGGATAAGTGGTTCATCCATTTGTCTCCATTGTTGAGCACCATCGTTGTTGCAATCAATTGTTCCATCACTTGCACTTTGGAGAAACCGATTGAGCAGTTCCAAGTAAACCCAATCTCCAGCCAATGCCCTGTTTCTTATTCACTAGATGCCATTACCGGCATTACAGTAGTGCATTATTTGCCAGATCAGCTTGAAGGGCGCTTCTATTAATTTATTCCATCGATTTTAACAATAGAATGTTCTGATAGGAGATGTTTAAATTTTGGAAAGAGCTTGATTCAAACACCCAAATGTTCTCAAGACCCGGTCTCCATTCTGCATAGTTGCAGTCACACCCAAAGGATCAGTCAAGTTACGCTACATCTTAATTGTTGCTATGATACCTTACCCTCTACGATTTGTAAAACAGCGTGGTTTTTAAGGGCGACCCAGCAAGGACTTAGAGAAAACGGAGTATCCTACAGCTTTTCAAGGAATACCGCCTTGCTCTTACTTTCTTCCAGAATACATCTCAACGTTGCTTCATAAAAAAGATTAAATGAAGTTGCTACATAAAGAAGATTAAATCAACCTAGAATCGTTTCATTCAACATTAGGAAATCCTTTGTAATAGCAAATCCCATCTCTAGAAAAGAAAAAATAAAGATAAAACCCAGAAATAGGAAACTAGAGCTTACTTGCCCAGTAGAAATTCTCAACAAAGCCCTCCTAATTCTGGCGTCCATCTGCTCCGAAACCCTCGTTTGGACTCTCATAAGCTCCCCAACAGTAACGGAGAATGGAGACCAGGATTTGGAATGGTTATCTGGTCTCTCCCTTGTACTATTTATTTTTTTCTCACTTTTTCTTATTTTATTTTGAAAATTCGAAAGAGAATAATGGGTAAAATAGTCTTTTTTGTCTTTCTGTTAATGGCAAGGAAGTTTTAAACAATTGTCAGAAAACTTAGGAATACCTTAAGACAATATGTAAATAGAAAGGGTAGAGTTAATCAATCGACTAAACCATAAGGATAGTTTAAGAAATTTACCCAAATTTCTTTTAATTTAAGGCTATGGCTAAGCATAGAAAGAATTGATTCTTTTCAAAAATTTTAAGTTGAACATGATGTCACGTGATACTCATAACTGATGATCTGTTAATGGTAAGTACTGGATTGGATTGGTATTTTCTTCACCTGTATTTAATAGGGAGAGAATAAATAGACGATTTGAAAGTTCATGCATGAAGAATAAAGACATAATTAATGAGAAGTGAGATTATTGAATAGTGTAATTAATAAGTATTTAATATATACATATTTTATGGAACCTTCTATCAGATGCATTATATCGATACCTTGAACCTTGACTATGCTTCATAATAGAATTAAACCCATTCCATATGGACAACTCCACGCATGCATTACATTTCATCAGTCCATACGGCTGTGAGCTTGTCTATTAAAAATTAAAGACAATCACACAACTTGAGCTTGAGTCTCCCTAGACGGCAGGCACATTTAAGGCAACTCGTAAACCACTTAGGCAACTTCGTACTTGTGTAAATATTAAAAATAAAATAACTTTTATTACATATAGCATCTACATAGTTCATGTAATTCAATTATTCAAATAAATAATATATTTATGTTCAACAATTTTAACTAAAAATTATAAAGAATAATATTCAAAATTGATATTTTATAAACCAATGGAATAAATAGTCTATCAAATCTACATTAAAACCAAAAGATGATTTTAATCTCTAGAAATTTATGCAAATAAAATATTTTTTTTAATACTTAAAATTAATATATATATATATATATATCAAATTATTAATTAATTAATATTTTAATTTAATTACATTAAATAACAACATATTAAATATTTACAAAAATAAAAAAAATGATTAGAAAATATTTGAGAGTATAATATTAAATAGAATCTATCAACTCTATTAATCAACATTTATACCAAAAAATTATATTTAATTTTAGAAAAAGCTATAGTAACAAAACTATCAATAATATAATAATTATACTAGTAATTAAAAATTTACATATTATATCTTAGAAAATTTAACAGATTTGATATATTTTAAATTGAAATTATATTTTTTATAAATTATTAATTGATATTTTAGTTTACATTTGAGAATTTAATGACTTTTTTGTTAATGTAAAAAATTAAAAATAGTAAAGTAGAAAATAATTGATATAATAATTAAAATATTATATGTGCATATGTTATGTGTTTTGGACTCTTGATTGTTGTACTATCAATAAAATTGTGTGATATTTATGCATCCTGTTATATTAATTGTAATGTATTTTATCACATATACCATTAAAATGTACATTTCCTTTGTATTTATACATTATTTGTGTCTATTTGATTTCAAATTTAGTGTTATTAATATATTTATAGAATTTGTATGTGTTTCTCCAGTATATCTAAGCGTTTCCATTTTTTTTTTGTCTGTATCCATGCGTTTCCAAACATATCCGTATCCGTATCCACATCCAAATTGTCCAATATAATATTTGATACCAATACTTTGACCCTTGCTTAGGACTTTCAAAATTCTGAGTAACTATTAAATGGGTCTGGATCTCCATTTTGAATCCTCATTATTAATAGGGTCAGTTTTGGATTTGCATTTTGAGTCTAGATTATATATAAATTAGGTTTGGTTTTACATGTTTCCGCCCAAATTGTGTATATATACGTCTGTGTGTGCATGTGTTATATATGTCAAAGATAGCTCCGGTGTTTTAAATTTTTTATGTATAGTGGTGGTGAAACAGGACTCATGCAGGACTCCATATAATTGGGACCTATGCTTTTGGTTCTTTATTATGTATTTTGTTGATGTTTAATACCTTCTCTGCTAAATTAATTCATCCTTTTATATGACCTCTTTATTTATAATTTTTATGTATTTTTGGGCAAAATTTATTTCTTTTATGGCTAATATGTATTATTTACTTCTTTAGTACATGGATACTTTTAAATATGAATCCTATGTTTTGGAAGTTCATTAAATAACTTAATATTTTTATTACTTAACTTACATATATTCTAATCTGTTTTCCAATATAAAATGATTATAAAATTTTTCAAACCATTTTTTTTATATACAACTTTTGGGAACTAAATGGCTTATAAATAAGATTGGATAAAAAGATTTTGACAATTTTGTTCAAATTTTATTGTATCCTTAATTTTTGTTTTATTTATTTATTTATTTTGATTTAAAGAAAAATTGTAACATTTTTTAGTTTGTACTTTGTAGTTGGTAAAACCTACTATTATGCATCATGGATGGACATATGAATATAGATGATATTCTCACACGTGGTTAAGATACACAATGGTACATTAAGATTATTCTATTTAAAAATTGAAAATCAACAAGATATTTTTGAGTTAAAAGCCCGTAAATATCTCCACTGTAGTTGAAAGAGCTTTCATGCGGTGGCTTCTGGCTATATAAGATTGGCCTCACGAAGTTATGTTTGGTGAAAAACCCAAAAAAACCAATAATATACTTTCATAAGTTGCAAAATTGACTTTCCACAAAACTATTTTAAGCGACTTTTTCAAGGCTTAATTTAAAAAAGAGTATAAGTGAACAAAATAATTCAAATTACAAGCTTTTGTACTGTATATATTTGTATTTGTCCTCCTTCCAAACTGAGCCCAATGATTTAGTCAATGCAGCCCAATCACCTTCTTGCCTCACTGTCTTTTAAAACGAGTCCCATSATTTATTTCACGGGAGATATTCCCAATACAAGATTGCAACTGTTTTGGAAGCATGCATGAAACTGGTGAGGTGCACCGACTATCAGCTATGATATTCTTCACCCGGCAGATAGGGTAAGAGAAAAAAAACCCAGCTTCTCCATTCTATTGACCATATAATTCCTGCAAGCAAAAACCCTGAATACACTCTTAACATACAGGTACGGGGATATCCCCAATGTGCTTTTGAATTTATTTACAGGGTTTTTGCTTTCCAGGATCGGGTGCGGGTTCCATTCAACACCTCTTCCAGTCATCGGCAAAATTCATTCGCTTTAAAAAGTCTTTAGACTAAATCAATGGCTCAGAATTAAAAAAAAAAAACACCCTATATATATTGGACAGAAACAAAACCATTTTACTAAAAAAATTCAACTAGAACACCTGCAACTTTAACTAGTGACATCTCTGACATCAAATTTCTTTAGACAACATCACATAAGAAACTCTCCCTGATGTCCGTCAGTATACATTTCACCTTGGATGTGAATATTCGTCAATTTATTATAAAGCAACATCCTCTTTGAGTTGGTTATATTTGGAACAGTAATGAAGCAGCAGCAGCAGCACTTGGGTCAACATCCATATCTTGAGTAATTAATGAAAATATCTATTTTGTGGGTTGACGAATCATGAATGTATTACTGCACTTGAGGTGCCTGCATGAAGAGATACTGCACGAAAGAGGATGTGTTAAAGCCATCATCTGTAAAATAATATAGAATACCTTGAAATTTGCGCCATCACTTTTCATGTCACATACCTCAAACGACTTGCCTGATCTCTCAAACTCCAGCATGCTGAGAGCAACTTCACAGCTCTGCGAGACTATGGGCTCAGGGTCCTTCGCAAATTCCTCAAGAAGTGACACACTTTGGCTATCTAGTAGATGAAAAGCAGGAGAAAACTTAAAGCTGGATACAAAGAGCTTCAAAAACAATGAATTTGAAAAGAAAAAGTTTGCCAATGAAACTGCATTTGTTTGCGGTGTAAAACTCCACCGACGGAATTCAACACCAATAGTTTAAAATTTGTAAACCGTTGTATTTTGGAAAACGTGATTATCGATGTAGTATTACATCAATTTTATCAATGTAGTATTTACATTGATTTATGATGTAAAACTACACTCCATCCAAACGCTGTCGAATACAAACCGGAAATGTAATTTTACACCGACAAATGCACACCAGGAGTGGAGTTTTACACCGGTCCACATTTACACCACAAACAAACGCAGCCAAAAGCAACATGCAACTACAAAGTTGAGTAGTTAACCATTGTACATCAACATTGAAATATCACGGAACACATGAACCAGAGTAGGAAGTTGATTTGTTCAAGTTTCTAATCTGGTCACCATAGGCTACAAGAAATAGAGGGCGACCCATTAACCTAATAAACAATTGAAAAAAAAATTCAAGGAATGACATCCCTTTTGGCCACAAATAGTGGTGTCAATTGGAGCGGATTTGGTCCAATCTGATCTGATTCAATATGAGTCCAAGTCCATTACAGATGGATCAGGTCCAATCCAATCCAATGAATACTCTCAACCATTTTGGGTCAGTCCAATTCAATGTCTGGACCATTTAATCTGTTCAAATTGGTTTTAATTTAGATTGGTTCCAACCCAAACTTGGTCCATTGACACCTGTATTGCTATCAATGGACTGGATATTGGTTCAATCCGACCAATCCAATATAAATTCATTATGGATGGATCAGGTCCAACAATCTAATAAATACTTTGTCCTGGACTGGTCCAATTCAATGTCTTATTGGTCCATCCAACCCATCCAAACTGATTTTGATTTGGACAGGGTCCAACCCAAAACCACAAAATCATGGATATCAGAGTCTTGCAACAGATTTCTTTCAATAGCCCTGAGCAAAAGGGGGTGAATAAAGTCAAACAAAGTTGTCAACTGTCATTTTTTTATCAGCAAATAAAACTTTTATTAATAAGTTGTCAACTGTCATTTAGTACCTGCAATGGAGCCAAGTGCTTCAGCGGCTTCATGTCTAACCATTGGATGCTCATTAATATTCCTAAGAACTTCAGAAAGGGCAGCAGAAGCAGCTTTGTCTTGCAGTTGGCCCAAGACATATGCAACCTGAAACAAATTGGACATAATCATAAAATCTCTAATACAGAGAAAAGAAGGGAGCTGGTGGAAAAACCATTCCACAGCTGAAGATCAGATACAGACCATACAACAGATGGCTAAAGTAAAATTATAGAAGGGTATGGACTGAAGGTCGGTAAAATCTTTTTCAAAATATCCTGTTCTAGTTTTTTCACATGCATATCTGGACATGAATCAGCTCCTAGTAATGGTTATGTCCACGTTGTAGAACCCATTCAGACCCACAAAACACATGATGTTGCAAGATTTAGTCTATACATTCAACTTTCTTTGTGTCACATAAGATGGTCTTTGTGTATCTTGTTGGATTGTGGCAAACAGAAAAACCATCTACCCCATGCTTATAAATACACAATTCACATGTTATACAATTTATACTTATCAAAGAGAAAAAAAAAAGCAATTTCTACCTTCAAAATCTACCGGTTGAAGTATATGGTTCTGGTCTCTACTAGTATACCTTTTTTTTTATTAGTGTCTCTACTAGTATATCTTACCTATTGGTAAAACATTTCAGAGTTGATTATATCAAGAACACAGAACTCTTCTTCTCTTTTTTTTTTCTTTAAAAATTTCCCCATTTCTGTGCATCTAATAATTACTAGAGAAGCATAGAAAGGATTGATTACACTACATGGCTGTCATTACATACCACAAGCCCAAAAGATAAAAAAAAGCACCTACAATGACATGCAATAAAGAGAAAAAATCAACCTAGCTGATTCTAAACCAACTTTGAGTCAGTTAAACAGCTTTAGAATATAAGCCCATTAGCAATCATAAAAAGTACCCTAAGCCCAGTCCATGGGTGATGGGATTTTTTTAAGAGAGAGAGAGAGAGAGAGAAGCTAAACTATTGTATTATACTGAAAAAAAAATGTGCACAACAAGAGGCTGTATTCAAAGGTTAAACAAAAAACTGCCCCTGCCTTGCTAACACCCTACACTCAGATTTACAAAAAGGTTTCCATATACAAAAAAAGAGTTATAGTCTGTACTCTGTAATCTTGAACATCACAAAAAGGACATCTTTTAAGCATCCTTTGTTTGGGACAGCTGAAACCCAAATGTGTCTAACCATGAAATATGAACAACTTTTGTGGTTAGAGTAATATAAATGTTCTAACTAGAGAATGATTCGTTTAGGTTCTCATATCCAAGCTCACCAATCTTCACTTTATCTACAACATGTTCACTCATTCTAGCATGATAACAACCACCTCAACCATTTGAAGGTGACCATAAAAATGAGCATACCAAATTCTCCTAGTTCTTGACCAATCTTCACTTTATCTACTACAACATGTTCACTCATTCTAGCATGATAACAACCACCTCAACCATTTGAAGGTGACCATAAAAATGAGCATACCAAATTCTCCTAGTTCTTGACACCACATTATGTGAACTCTCATTCTGTCCCCATGGACCTAATATCATTGATAAAGTCATAGAAGACCGGTATCACTTTATACACATTTCCACTCCACTTCTCCATACAACCCCCAAACTAAAAGTTGTCAAATTTTAGTTTAGTCAATGATACATGGCACACCACACCATTTAGCCTTTCCCACATTTGTACAAGGGGTTCCATCTTCAAACCTGTCCAAACGCCAATTTTTTATTACACCCTATCCAGACATTGTGTTTCTTGGATGACTGGTCCTTGGAATAGTGAAATACCTCAGTCCAAGATCACCAGATTATTTGTCCAATTTGCTATTGTCACTGAACTAATGAAAAATCATAGAGGTTCCATGCTTAATTTCTAGTTTCAATTAACTTATCAACTTGGTGCTCTGATTTAAGGGGTTTCCGACAATTTCAGGGTTCCCCACTTCTTCTAAAGATAGCATTAGAGCCTTTTCTATTGTTCTATGGACTGGTTCTTGGAAAAACCACAAAGACTGGTTCACAATGAAGAAGCTTGTAAATCAGGATTTTCACACCAAATATAGATTCATGAATTGAACCATCTTCAAAGGAAAACCTCCTCCGCTCTATTGTTGCCACATTCTGAAGACCTAATCATCATTACTTCTTTTTTGGTCATTGAGCCTAAAGATGATTATTACTACACCATTTTATTAAGCCTACAGAATTACATTGAGTTGAGAATACATTCATTTTTATCAATAATAGTTTGTCTGATTGAAACCCAATACCTTGACTTGAATTCAATGCCTTTTGCCTCCAAAAACCTGTATGTTCTTTCCTCCAAAATCATCGTCATCGTCAATGCCTTGTCCCAACTATATGGGGTTGGCTACATGAGTCCTGTTTCTCCATTCTGTTCTGTTCATGCTATAAAATGTGCCACAGAATTTGCAAAGGGGATAAATCTACAATAACTTAGCCTTGTCATCATATTTTATTAAATACTCCACAAGGCTCTGTAACATAATCATTAGAAGGAAAATGTCTTCCAACTACCTGAACTTACCAATGTTTAAGCTTTTACAAATTGGACTATACTCCTAGGCCTATTAACTAAGAATATACACTGCACGAGACCCCCAGATAATCATGTTCAAATTGAGAAACTGAACAGCTGTAGTCAATGGAATCAATGCAAATAAGTATCACATTATCATTTTGGTCAGTGGTCTTAGACCCATTGAAGCAAATGCACTGCAAACTGTGGTTTTCCCTATCCCAGAAAAGAGTAATGGCTTCCAATATCACCTTTTAAATCTTTAAGGAACAGTCTTCAAAATGCACATGCATGCACATATAAGAAGAGTAGTCACAGGAAAACTAAAGGATTTCAGCTCATAACTTTTCAGTTGCACCAAAATCAACTATTTCATCCCTCACCCCTTCAAAAGAAAAATGAACCAAGAAAAAGTAAAAGTAACCTCCAAACCAACAAAAATTAACCTTATGACTTCTTGCTTTTCAACAACAGTCTAAAGAAATCTGACTTACCATAACCTCAGAAAGTTCTCACATTCTAATCCCAACCACTCTGAAAAGAGAACATAACAATAGTTTCTGTAACTCTTTAGATAAAAAAAATAGTTCCTGCAATTATAAGAAGATCTAACTTATCAAAAAAAAAAAATAAAAATCTAAGAAGACCTATGTCATTGTGGCTTCATTAAAAAAAAAACAACCTTGTCCATCATATATTGAGTCATGCCAGATCTCAGGCATGACCAACATTTTTTTCTTTTATTGGTAACTTGGCCCACAGTTTCAATGTTTCATTTCCATAGTTTTGGTGGTAACTTCATGCTAGGTAACCAAAAACCTAAATTTTCAGATTTATTTGTTTCAGTTAATCTTGCAGATGACAAAACATGGGAAAATTAAATGTCTACATTTGGATTTATCAGTACAGATGGAAAAAGAATAATCTTGCTGCATGATAGGTGGTATGAGAGTGGTGTTTTTTATTAGCTAGAAGATGAGATGATGGTAAGGTTCATACACAGATTCTTCTCAATCATCTATCACTATTTTTCTAAGGCAACAATGAAGTGTCACTGTCGCATAACATTATCAGAATTTAGAAAGAATCTGGATACCTCATGCCGCAGGAGAGCACTTTTAGCACCTAAAGAATCAATTATAGCGCTGATAGCTCCATCACCACCATCGTTTCGAAGAGCAAAAAGAGCTCCATATCGCTCATACATGCCCTTTTCTTCATTCAAGAGAACTTCCCTTAAATTAAATGGGTAAAGACAATCAACAAGCTAGTCTTAATTGATACAGAACAAATCAGTTTGTTCACCAGCTTAAACCAGTTAACAAACTAGTTCTAACCCATAGAAAGCAGATTGACAATTCATGACCAAGAATTGTTACGCTTTGACAGACAAACCTTAGCTGATCTACAGAAGAACTAGAACAAGCAGGCATGGCTGGATCAACTGACAGAAACGGTGAAGCAGACACTGAAGATATTTGATTGTTATCATCAATATCTTTYTGTTCCTTAATTCGTCTAAGAGCCAATTCACATGTTTCTCGCACCTCCTGCGCAGGATCTGACACTAAACTCTTCTCTAAAATAGGAATATTACTCTTTAATCCAATGGCACCAAGAGCTTCCGCTGCCTGCATAGGTGCGTCGTGCATAAAGATCATACTAGAAATACAAAATAGCAGCATATCATAGGAGACCATAATAAATCCAACAGAAAAAGTTACCTCATGACGAACAATGGGATGCAAAGAAAGATCTTCAAGAACTCCTTCTAAGGCAGGAATAGCATCAGCGTCTTGCATTTGCCCCAGCGCAAAAGCTGCCTCATGGGCAAGCAAATTCGAACAATCCCTTGTTGCTAGAAGCCAAATAAAAGTTAGTTCCGACTGGTTATTAACTAATAAACATATAATGGGTGAATAATTTCTGCTTTAGGTGTTGAAATCGATTCAATCATTGGTGCAGATTAGATAGAGAAGCATGAGCTCATGTCAACTTCTACAACTTAATCACGTTAAAAATTCCATGAATCATAGAATAGTTTTTGGAGGGTGGATACTTAAAATAGGAGAACATTGGGGGGNGGGGGGGGGGGAGGAAAGAAAAAGAACCCAAGCAACGTTTATTGCAAAATTCTACGAGAATTTATAAGTGTTTTTTTTTCTAATTTTGTTATAAAAGGAATTGATGAATTCAATATGACAACTGAATCTCTATAAACATTATCAAAGCCGAAACCATAGTTGACCAATTATAAAACCTAATTCATTAGAATTTTGAAAATAAAATATGGAGAAAAACGTTAGAATCAAAAACCAATTCTGCGATATCCGTCGAGAAAACTTACCGCGGACGAGCGCCTCACGAGGGCCAGAGCCTCGGAGATTGCGAAGTGAGAATAGAGCTCTGAAACGCTCGGAAATCGGCTGGTCTTGATCGAGGAGTCGCTCGCAGAGGAACTTCTCTGTTTCCGGAGAAGCGTAGAAGGAACTTCCGCCAGCCATGGATTCGCAGGAAACCGGGACAGAAACCCTAGCTTCCCCGAGACAGTGGAGGCTTGGAGTTGGAGCGTGGAGAATCAGATGCCCCGCGAAAGAAAAAGAGAAGAGTCAAAGAGCATCATAAGTATAGCCGTTGTATTTCTCTGCTTAGAAAGATGGGCCCCCGAATTAAAACTATAGAACCCACTTTCGGTGACTAGATGGAATCAGCCCATTGGAAGAAGATTCTTTCTTTCATTCTTTTTAGGAGCCCACAGAATGCACAGTGCTGTATATCTTTTGGGCCTCAATGGCATTACCCACAGGAGGTCAGCTGAGGTTGTCTTGTCCCTGCGAATTGGGCTACAGGCAGTTGGAGCCTTTCGGTTATAAGCCCATATACAAAAGACACGTATATAGGAATCTCTTATCAAGATGCCGATTTCAATTAGGGGTGCAAATGGATTGGATGATTCGATCCTATTTAGTTGAATTCGGATCGCGCTTTTGGATCTTCGGATCGGATTTGGATAATCTCTATCCAATTCGAGAAGATCCGATCTGATATATATTATATATTTATAAATATAAATATATATAATACATATATATATTATTTATTTATAAATATATTTTTATATTATATTTTTATAAAATTGTTATATTATTTATTTTTTATAAATATATATATATATATATATATATATATATATATATGATAATTATAATTAAAAAATGCTTATATTTTTTGTTTTTATTTTTTTTAAATTAGTATATTTTAATTTTCTTTTAATAATTTATTAATATTTAAAGAAAATAAATCGGATTGGATCAAATCCAAAATCTGACTTACCGGTAGGGTCCAAATTCAATAAAGTCCTATTAGATCCAGTTGGATCTTTGGATCAAATCGGGTCCGACATTAACAGTGTCAGATTGGATCGAATCTGATCCGTTTGTATCCCTAATTTCAATGGTGCCAGAAAAGTTTGATACCTGAAAAAAATTTTAATTATACACAATTTATTAATTCTTATAGAATGAGAGTTAGACAAGATAAACCACGCCAAGCCCATTGAATCTCGATCTAGGCTCGTTTAGCCAAATGAGCACAAATTCAAATTCAGGCTCATGATAGGTTGTGTTTGGATAAGGCTCAGGGTTTTGTGCTTTTAAATCCCAGAAGCACAAAGCCCTAATTTTGGCTTTGTGTTTTAGTTTAGGGCTTAAAAGTGTTTTGACATTAGATTGCTATGCTTTTAAAAGCAATACTTATCAAACTCTCAAAACACTTCTCGGATTTGTTCTGTTTTTTACAGCTCAAAGTTCAAAAGCAAAAACTTATCCAAACACAACCTTTATCTAGCCAAGTTCAAGAATATATAAAGCCCAGTTAAGTGGGCAAATAGTACCATTGAATATTGATTATTGATGTAGCACCAAACTGGACCAAGCTTGATGGGCCTTTTCACATGCCAGTGCGCTAGCGTAGCCTGGACTCTATTCCCCTTTTGATTTTATAATGAGCTGACATCATGGCAAGGCCCATAGCCTAGTTCCAATTCCAGCTGTCCATTAAATAGGGATCACCCATCAAAGTTTGAGTTCGGCTGCAGTCAGTGCAAGTCCATGCTCACACCCTTCGAACAGCCTCCTGCAGATTTGCATTGGGAATATCTTCCCATGAAATAAAGCACGCAAATATGGAGATATTTCTAATGCAAGGCTGTAAAAGCTGTTGGAATGGATGTTGCAATGACTGAAGCCGATCTCTCAAGGTTTAACTCAAGTAGTATTCGCTCCGGAGGACCTGAATCCCCACCATCTACACTCTTATGTGAGGAAGATCTGATAACTATGCCTCATTCTTTTAGGTTGTGTTTGGTTGCAGCACAATTTTATTTGCACTAGTACAAATGTGTGGGAGTGCAAATGCAAAATATGCAAATTTTTGTTTAATTATGTTTTTGATTTTACTTTATTCTGCTTCATGTCTTAATTTACTTCATGCACTGCAGTCAAATAAAATAAGCTAAAATTTGAAATAAAAATAAGTCAGAATTTACACTCAAATCATTTGCACTGCCATAGTTTTGCATCAGTGCAAATTTATTTGTACTGCAACCAAACATAGCCTTAGGCTCAGTTTGGGAAGAGTACAAATACAAATATGTAGAGTGCAAAACCTTATATTTTGTATTATTTTGTACGTATTTGTACTGTACATATTTACATTTGTATTCCTTCCAAACTGAGCCTTAATGAAGGAATCAATTAAAATCACTTTAAATAACTTATGTTGAGATAGAGATTACTTGGATATTCTTAATGAAGTTTGTGATATTTCTCAAGAATTTTGTTTCTCTCTTATTTTCTATCAAACTAAACATAGCCAAAAGGAAAATCTTTTTTTTTTTTAAAAAAAAATTGTGAGAAATTTGGATAGGCAGAAACAGTAACATTTGAACAAGAGTTCTTTCCCAGCTGTGCTTCTTCGTGATGCTAAATACTTATATTTGTGAGGACCAAACATCCCAATTAGATTCTGAGCAACCATTCAGAATTTACCAAAGTTATAAATCGACAAAAATCTCTCTATTGGTAGACAGAATCTTTTAGTTATAGCTCCCTATCTCCTTTCAACAAAAGAGACTTTGGAGAAGATGCAGATATCATAAGCAAACAGGGGAGTGATGTGATTAGACATTGCTTGCCTGAATCTGAATGAATGCCTAAATTTTTCTCTTTCACTTCTCCTTTAGTTTTCACCTTGTCAGGGGCTTCTAAATTCTTTGAATGGACCTCTTGTAGCCTCAACAAAATGTATTTCTTCTAAGTTTTTAGGCTTTTTTTTTTCCAAACATCGTTTTACCTCTCTCTCTCTCTCTATGTGGTAAATCTTGCATAGATGAGGTGCCAGTGCTTTCTAAGAATCTAGCATTTCAAAGCATGTTTCCACATATACTATAGGATTTATGTGTATATAGAGGAAAAGATTTTGTATTTTCTACTTTAGTCAAGTACACTTCTATGTTATAGATATAGATATCATTCATGTGAAGGGATGAGCTGGTAACTCTTAAACATCCATTGGTAAGGTCTTGGGATTATCCATGTTTTCAATTCCCTAAAACATCACCAAAACATATCTATACCATGCATCCAAAGTTATACCTTTTAATTTAAAACCCACCCATATAGAAAAAGGGCTTATTTTGGAAACCTGAAAAGCGATTTTAAGCTAAAGTTTGTTCCACAAACAATGAGACAAGAGGTAAACTTTGAGGCCCTTTTGACCTTAATTAGACCATATTGCCAGGCCCATGTGGAAGATATATTTAAACCTAGGATTCTTCCATTTTTCCCTGATTGACCCTCTATTCATTGTGAATTCTAAGATTTTGAGATTTTTCCAATGTGTCTCAACTCTGAAATAAGCCATTGGGGATTCAATTCGTATAAAAATTCAAACTCTGGATGGGTGGCATCCTTTGAGGAAAACTTCAATATATCCTTTAATATAAAAGTGATGTTTAGGGCTAATATGGATAGGATACCCTTTGGAAAATTTTCAATATAAAGTGGGGTATAGGTATAGACTAAGAAATGAACATATGGCAACCCTAGAAAGTCTTGTCATCTGATGAAACATTATTTTGATTGGCTACATCCTCCTCCCATATAGCAAAACTAGGTCTTGTCTGGACTCTGGAGAAGCAGCCTAAATTGGATCATCATACACTAGCTACCTTTTCCTATTCAAATACTTCTTCAAATTAAAAGTTGGGTGAGAAATTAATTACATGTTGTGTTTCATAAGAACAGTTTTGTCCATAACATTTAATAATATTGTGATTGATAATCTCTAAATTTTGTATCTCAATCTTACGTTTTGAACTTAATAAAAAAAAATAAAAGAATGAAATTTTGCTTTCAGAGTAAATACCTCATTAATTAGGTTCTATTACCATTCCATTTAATTATTGTTTTTACATCAATTAAATAGGTGCTCAACTTCTTGAGGACAGTTTTGCACATACCTTACAATGTCACCATCGAAGTAAGTTATATGCTAATTAAAACTTTGCATTCTTTTTATTTTCTGTTTCCTATATATATATATATATATATATATTTTGGTATTGCATCCTCTTACTTCACCTTCTGATCTATTAGTGGATGACTTTAATTTAATAGAAAAAAAGTACCTATTTCTTTGATAGAAATGACACTAAAAATGGACTAGCAAGAAAGAAAATTACATTATTGGAAATTATACATTTTGGCTTAAGTATAATCATAATATAAATCTGTATATATTTATGTAGGGGGGTTTTACAGTTTTACATGGTTGTTTTGTTAAAGCATCATAGTGGGTTTGGGCTCACGAACTAGTCCAAGTAGTGGTCCCACTATCCTACATTTGGGGTGTTTGGTTTAGAAGAAAAGGTTGGAAAAGGAAGGGGTTGTGTCCCTAGGAAGGACTAGCTAGGCCCAGTAAACCTGGCTGAAGAATTTGAAAATTGTATGGTAGGAGGTTGAAAAGCCCGTGTTAAGCTGAGCTACAAAAGATGGAAAAAATGGGAAAAAGAGGGTGTTTGGAGCGGATGGATTGAGAGAGACAGAGAGATGTAGGGGAGGTCAGTAAGGCACGGTTAGCAATCAATGCAAGGATTGGTTGTGATGGCACCCATCATTCTGTTGTCACATCAGACCGACCTTGTACAATTTACTTGTTAAATGCCCTTAAATCTTTATATTGAATGTATTGTCAACCTCAAAAATAATGTGTATCCTAGCTATTAGCTATTATATTATATGCACCCATACATTGATATTTTGGACCTGCTTAATTATGACTTATGAGGGAATATAGTGTCGGCTGTTGTTGCTATGCTAACATTGGGGTGGGTGGTGTCTTGTGGGCGTCTGGGGGAGCACATTTGGTAGTCGATGTCTACAAATGAAATCCTCGGCAGAATGGAAAATGGATTTGTTCTTGTTGGGTGCGTAGGACCTATATATATAATATATATATATATAGAGAGAGAGATATTTAAGGAATAATAAGAAAAATCCTTTCAAGCAGAAATGAGCTAATGACTCATGATATGGTTTGGCCGTAGAGGAGGGATTTGAAAATTGAGGAATTTCATGGGTTTTTAGGTGGATGAAATGGTTCAAGAAAATCACGAGGGGTAGAGGGAGAGGTGGGCAATATTGTAGGAAATTAGCTTCATCTACGTGTGCTGGATGTTTTAGGATATTGGCCCTTTTTTACTGCTGGCATTGCCACGTTTGTCTGTTCTTCTTCTTAATAATATTTTTGGTTACTATCAAACAAAGGGGCAGGATCTACTAGGCACAATATAGTAAGCATGTTCAATGAATACTTGGTAAATAATCTAATAATTATTAAAAGTGGTTTTTAATCTTTTTCAAAGATAGGGGTATTTTAAGGGACAGGTATTTTAAAAGTAATTGATTATTGTAATGCCATTCTTGAATAATTTAATTGCATTTTCTCATAATTATTTCATTGTTTCACTTGCTTTAGTTTAGCTTGGTAGAATTGCATTTTTTATATCATAAGAATGGATTTAAAGCCAAAGTGATTTACAGCCATTAGATACTGTCAAATTTGGAGTCTCATTATGACCATTAAATTTTAGTGAAGGACATAAAAGTTAAATTTGATTATATAATATTAACTTATATCTTTACCCTTTATTTATTTGCATGGATTTGCATGGTACAGTAGTCCTTTTAAAAATTAAGATGCTGATATAGTCATGGTTCATCCTATGATTCATGTGTAAATGTACTTTCATTAGTTAAAATTAATCATATGGTCATCATCAAATAAAGATATTATTTGAGACCTGAAATCAAAAAGTTGTGGTCAAAAAATGCCATTTTATTGGTTTTGGAACCATTAATAACATACAAATAGCATAATGCTGGTTGTATATGTAAAACATATGAAACATGAAAACCAACAATGAATCGAACACCCCCTAAATTGGCAACTCTAAACCCCTATCTTAAGAGAACATGGGTTCAGATAAAAATGCAGAGGGTTTTCACCTAGAGCATTCTTCCTCTAGGTGTGATCCATTCTTCCTCTACTGTACATTTATACAGTTATGTTGAATGATATATTACAAGAAACACCTTTTTGAATAATGTCCAGGAATCAAACTGGATTAATTAAAGGTCCAGATGGGTAGCTACTACCCTGATCAGGAGCCTCCTACTGTCACAGTGTCGCCTCGATGATCTAAAGAGATCAGTCATCTGATAAATCAACAAAATGAATGAATCATGATTTGTTTCAAGCTAGGCATCTGATATATATTCTAATTAATACTCGAATCATTAATTTAAACTCAGCCAAATGATTAATCATTTGGAAATTTCTTCTTCTTTTGTTTTCTCAATATATAATTAAGAATGTCTATGGGTGAATATGAAATTCTTCATATATATTGGTTTGATCAACAAGAGTCTCTTTAAACCACTTATTTCTTTGTTGTCCGTTCACAAGAGCTTGTTGGTTTGGATCGTTTATTGGTTGCTTATGCTTGCTATAGCTAATTCTTGTTCTGTTAGATGTTTTGAAGGGTCTGACCAGTTACAGATCTTGCCACACACTATGCATCTAACAGACCTAAATAGTACTAAACAAATCATCAGGGTGATTTTACATCAATTATCTACTGTATCATAAAAGTTTCTGAGTATGTGAATGGGTTATGATCAATTGTGATGATTCTCAGTGAATTAGTAACTAGAAATTTTTTACTGTGTTGCGGGAAGAGGAGGGGGCAATCCCCATCTCATCATAAGGATTTCCAGAAGCTGAGCTTACAGCAGCTCCCAAAGTAGCAGTCTCTCCATTGTAGTCTCTGGAGATTCGAAAACTAAATAGTTTTGGAACTGAAATCTGTAATTTCAGTAACCTACAAGGTCTTCGATCGTGATGCAGTTACTTGGACACTTTTTTATGTCTTTTATTAGATTATTTCTTATCTGTTTTGTGGTTTTTAATTTGCTTTCTGATGTTATATATCTACAAAGATCTAACTTAGCGTGGTGATTGTTGATGAAAGTTGGTTTGGTTAATTAGTCCCCTCCCCTCTGTGGAATTTAATTTGTATTTTTGTCTGTCATTAAAATTTTGGTTTACTTAAAAGAACGAATATAAGAGGAAAACGAAATATGAGTTCAGAGCTAATAAGTGGAACGTACTCATGAACAGAGAGAGTATATCTGGAAGCAGTTGCACCAACATGTCCTACAACCAAAGGGGGTGAATGGCCAGTTGCTCATCACTCAACACTACTCATGGGTCGATCCTGATTTCAAAAAAAAATCAATACCCAATCTGTGACAAAGAGCCTAACCCATCTCTAAGTACTTAAATTTCAGCTTCAATCAACAAAGGGTATCGATCAGATGTGCAGAAGTGAACTTGATTAGATTATTCCTTGAAAAACATTGAAGACCTAAAATAGCTAGCTTAGCTAACATGTTAATTAGTTAGTTATTGAATGATTCGTTCTGCTGCTATCGATTTAGCTCTAGCATGTTGACTCCTAGGGGTAGACCTAGTTGATTTATTACTTACTGGTTCAAAAATGGAAGAAGTAGTTTTATTTATAATTTATTTATTTTGTAATACAATATATACACATGGAGTGGAGTGGAGCTATCTAGTGATGATAGGGCACTTATGAGCAGCTGAATGAGAGCGCGCTCATTGAATCACCATCACTGACTGCAAAGTTTATGGCATTGGCAGATGTGAACACGAGGTGGGGCTCCAATTAACAAAACTGACAGATTTATGTCTCAATCCATCAATCAGCCATGTCGTTGGCGGAGCCATTGTTTGATCACGCGTACGATTATTATACTGAGTTTCCGAAACACAGTCATCAGATATGATCGTGCACCGCCAAGTAAAGCTTTGTAATGGCCGAGGTGGATCGTATCATACCCTTTTTTAACTCTCACAAGTAGAGAAGAAACTTTTAGCTACTTTGGAAAGGAAAAAAGATGAAGAAGCAATCTCAAATCAAACACTCAAAAAATTTGCAGACCCAGATTACTAGAATGAATGAATTAACTGTAGACAGGTTCACGTTTTAGCCTTTGTATTTGAATGTATCTGTCAGAGAGAGAGAGTTTCCCTTTTGAATTAATGGAGAAAATATATTAAGAAAAAGCAGAAGTATTTTTAGCTATACAGTTTGATGAGTAGAGAGACCAGAGAGCAAAGGAAGCATGAAAGGGTGGTGGGTAAGTAGTAGAAGTAGAGCTAAAAATTAAATAGAAAAGATTAGGAGAGGGGATAAAAAGTAAAACCTCATTTGGTTTTATACTTTTTTTTGGTGAATAATTCCCTTGTTTTTATACTTTCACAGTTTCACTGGTCTCTCTCTCTCGGCATCCGTTGATATGTCGGGGCGCGAGACAACGACGTGCTTCCCACCTGCTCACGCGCACGCTACCCCACAAAACCCTAATATCTATGGAATTACAAGGTGAGAGATTATAGAGATAAAAGAAAAAAATGAATAAATAAAAGAAAGCTACAGCCCCCGAAACCACGACATATCAAACAAAGAAAAACCCACAAAGAAATAAGGGAGATACAGAAGCAAATTCTCCTCCTCCTTGTTGTTGTTGGTAGAGGTGCTGTTTCTGTCGACCTGATTGGTGTGGTTCCTCCTCTCCTTGTTTTTATTTTTTTTTGCTTATCTTAGTTATCTTAGTCCTTGTTGGATTTCCATATTAAAGTGCTTAAATCTTTTCTTATATGTTTCTTTCTTTATTGTTTGCTGCAGTTGATTCTGTAAAGGGTCTTGTATTTGTTATTTGCTGCTCTCGCTTAGACCATTTTCGGGTAATTTGCTTGTCTGATTCACCGCCTTCGGCTGTAGAGGAAGAACAATCCTTCCAGGCTTCTCTTGGCTTCGTTCTTACTTAATTTATTCTATGTGCAATTACATCTTATGCTCGTGTTTCTTCTTGATCTTTCTCTGATAAACTCCTATCAGTTTTTAGTTTCTTGTTGGCTTAATCTCGCCTCAAGCCCATAGAAGTGAGAGCAGGAAGATCGATATCGAGGAGAAGCACCGCTTCCGCTTGTTTCCTTCTAAAGTGTTTGTTTGGTTTTCGATCTCTGTTAGGGGAGAGAAAATCAGAAAGAAAGAAGGATAACTTCAAAGGTGATCTGATCAAAGAAAATCAATTTGTGGGTTCACTTGGATTTGCAACGCTGGCGAATCGGTGGTGGACCGGGCCAGTGGCGCTGCCAGGCGTCGAGCAGGCAGGGGGTTCTCCTGCGTTGAAGAAACGCGATCGGGAGTTTTCAATGAACGAAAACGGTGGAAGCAGCGGCGGAGGAGAGGAGGAAGAAGAGCGAGAGAACGGGGACGAACCAAAAGAAGGAGCTGTAGAAGTTGGGACCCGTCGTCCAAGAGGACGACCACCCGGGTCTAAGAACAAGCCGAAGCCACCAATCTTTGTGACACGGGACAGCCCGAACGCGCTGAGGAGCCATGTGATGGAGATTGCAGGAGGGGCCGACGTAGCCGACTGCGTTGCCCAATTCGCTAGGAGACGGCAGCGAGGTGTCTGTGTACTTAGCGGAAGCGGAGCAGTAGCCAACATAACATTGCGACAGCCTGCTGCACCCGGAGCTGTCGTTGCACTGCACGGCCGGTTCGAGATACTATCCCTTACCGGAGCCTTCCTACCTGGACCTGCTCCTCCGGGGTCGACTGGGCTGACGGTGTACCTGGCTGGCGGTCAAGGGCAAGTGGTGGGTGGCAGCGTGGTTGGCACACTTATAGCAGCGGGGCCGGTCATGGTGATTGCGGCAACATTTGCCACCGCAACATTCGAGCGGCTGCCACTTGACGAAGAGGAAGAAGCAGGTAGCGGAGGCCAGGGGCAGCTCCCCGGAGGTGCAGGAAGTTCACCCCCCGCAATTGGCAGCAGTTCCGGTCAGCAGCAGCCTGGATTGCCCGACCCCTCATCCTTGCCTGTTTTCAACCTGCCACCCAACCTACTCCCTAATGCTGGGCAGCTGAACCACGACGCCTTTGCTTGGGCTCATGCCCGTCCACCTTTCTGAACAAACAAAGCTGGAGAGAGAGAGAGAGAGAGAGAGAGAGAGAGAGAGAGTTTCTTTGGTATTAGAATTCAGAACTGAGTAGATGAAGGTGGAAACCATGGATTCTGTGTAAATCACTAAATCTTACTTTTTTTTTTATTTAGCCTTTCAATATTTCTAGTTCGTAATACAAAACGGATAGCTTCTCTTTTATAGCTCTGATTGTGTGTTTTTTTTCACTTTCTACATTAGTACTTTCTCATGGAAGTTCTATATTAATATTATTAACTCATTTCTTGTGCTTTCAATAATAGGCTTTCTTGTTTTTTTTTTTTTTTTAATTGTGATTACTGATGATTACTTAATACATACTTCATTCGGTAAGAAAGATGGAAGTTTGGAAATTCAAGAATAGCAGTAGGCGGAATGCATTGATCTTTGATATATATTTTTCTCTTTATGTATATATTATTACGAGGCTTCTTGCTAAAATACACACTTATAGAGTTTTAGCCTTTTAAAAGCTCCATGGTTATTTCTCGCCTTATTATGCTGGCATTCTGCAGGAAAATATGGTGCAGTTCGTCAAACCTCAACCAGGAGCACTAAATTGTCGATAGAAATAATTTGTATTTGCACATTTTGGCTGGATTCTTTTCTTTTATTTCTTTTTTTTTTGGTCAAGACGCTGGAGTCCATTTATGTCCAGATTTAATTGCATTCTTTGATTCTGGGATCGCGTTTTAGTTTTCTTTGTCATGTATCTTTAAATGGTTCAAATTAGGTAACAAATGAAAGTATCTTCCTGCAAGGCTGCAATTTTTCATATAGTTCATAGTCAGTACTTACTCTCTCTCTCTCCTTTTTTATTTGGGTCTTACATTGGTGATTTTCCGTTTCAGTCTGCAAGAGATGAAACTATATATGATTGAAACCTCTCCATGCCATGAAGATTTTCTTGGACAATCTTATGAAGCTAAGATTGGTGTTTGAAGTTGAAGGATAAGCGGGTATCGCCTGTTTTCTCTATATTCAAATCAAGGCGTGTGGAGATCGGGCTCTTTTCTGTTGTTGGTTAGTGAGTTCTTCTGTGGGAGGAATTGGACCTAGGATATTTTGACAGCTGCAAGTCTCTGATGCTTTTAGAACCTTTCCCTGTAGTTTCCATCTTCTGGTTTTTGATGGGTACAAACAAATGCAACTGACTAATGTTAATGGGTCAAATTTGGGGACTCGTCAGAGAGAAAAGTTTATTATGAATTAATTAAATGTAAAACAGAAAAGAGAGAAGAAGAAGAAGAAGAAGAAGAAGAAGAAGAAGAAGAAGAAGAAGAAGAAGAAGAAGAAGAAGAAGAAGAAGAAACCTAAACTAAAACTCTAAAAGGAGTAACTGTGAATTCATCATAGGATTATCAAGTTCAAATTTTAAATACCCTTCAAGGAAGGACAACGCAGCAGGCTATCCTATATATGATCGAGTTGATGAACCCAGCTTGTGCAAGGAAAACCCAGAAGTAGGTACTTGGGTGCTGGAAATCTCTTTCATATTTTTAGTTATGTTCAAGAACCCAGCTTTTATTTTATGTTTCCTTGGTAGACGAATGGGGAAAACAATATGAGCTGCAGGAGAGCGGGCTACAGCGGTCTTGGTGGGTTATATTCATGCATTTTGGAGTTTGTAAGATAATCAATCTAAATAAAACCAACGGGCTTCAGTTCTCATTAGTGGTATCTCTGTGGATTGATACATGCAATGTGGACTTTTACTGGAGGATCTAACGATTCCCATTCGTTTTTTTAGACCAAACAGCCCTCTTCAGCTGTTTCAAGGGGCTTTAATTTGTCCTCCAACTTGATGGAAACACATATGGGGGCGTATTATTTGTGGATAATTTCTTGATTTTGAATATAGAAGATTGTTCTGATGGCAACCTTCAAAATTTTCTTGCAAGCAGTGACCCCTTGAATCCCACCAACAAGTGGGGGATCACTCAAGCATCCCTTTCTTTTCAGTTAGACGATTCGGGAGCTGCTGTTTATTTCAGAATATATAAACAATATATACACACCAGTACTAAAAGTTATATAAGTCAAAATTAAATTAAGAAGTGAACCTCTATCCTAATAAAACTTGTAAAAAATAATTCATTGATTAATTAAGATTTTCAATATATAATACCTTTAGATGCTTCAGCTTTTTGGGTCTTATCATCAGTTTGTGTCAAAGCAAGTTGGCCAACATTTCTATATTGGCAAAAACAAATATATATATACAAGCACACACTACCAAGAAAAGAGATGCTAATGGAGAGAAAGCTCTTAGTTCATAATTGATTATATGAAAGCCAAATCTAGCTAGGTTTTAAGCTGTCTGTCTTGAAGTATGGATGTTATGATTTCTTCTTTTCTGAGTAAAAAGTCCGTAAATCAATTGGTAGCTTACCAATACTTGACAGAAAATATTAGTATCCATATAGTTGAAAAAAGCAGCTAGCTCAAGACTTCAATTTATAAACAAAATTATTCAGATCAGTGGTGGACGTTGACAACCTTCTGAAAGGGTTGTCAGTTCTTAATCTCCCCTTCCTTCCGAGAGTAATTAATTCTCCCCAGCTGGGGCATCTTTCATGCTCTCCTACCCAAGAACCAGATGATAGTAAAAGGCTTATAGAATGGAGACAAAGTATGAATTTTTGAAGTTGGGTTGCCAGTGATGAATTTATTAAGAAACCATCGTTTTTTCTCAACCTACATAAGTATTGTCACTGCTCCAGCACATGCTCAATAGTTTCAAAGCATTAAAGAAAAGGGAAATATTAATAGAAGGAATTGAAAAGGGTACATATATTTGATGTAGGAGAGAGAGATTAAGACGGGTAGATAATAAGAAAGCAAAGATTATTAAGAGTAGTGTAGTCCAGCAGGGTTCACAAGGTCAATGATGCCTATAAGGGCTTAATTAAAACGTTTACAGCCGAGCATGTTCTTCAACAAAGCATCTCCAAGATTCAAGTAGCCCGTACTGTCTGGTGAAGAGGGCTGAAATTGAATTGAATTTTTTTTTTTACTTTTTTGTCAGCCATGAACGTGGATACCAATTGATGAGCAGTGCAAGGGAGCTAGCACATAGCTAGCCACAGATAAGAGGTCGTCATTGGCAATGTCGATCTTTAGAAGCTAATGGAGTTAGGAGTAGTAGGTGTCAAAGATTCCCCTAATGTGGGTAGTGGGTTCTTGTGCTGTCCTTGATGAAGTGGCTCAAGGCTTACCACAGAAATTCATAGATTCCCTCCGACAGTCATTCAAGTTTGTAAACATGTTTCCTCATATCATTATGTGCCAGTGTCGCTTCTCATCTTAGCATTCTGGTTATCAGTCTTGATTTTATCAATTAGTTTGGACTACATAAAGGTTGTATCGATGAGAAGAGCTTATTTGGGAAAGCTCGTTACATACTTAGCTCCCTATCAGCTAATTAGGCAAGGTTACTAAGTGACCCCCAATAGTGTCAAGCTCGATTCATTTAGATGAATGTGCTTGAACCGAGCTAGGGTGCATGACTTCGCCTTGATATAGACATGACTAATACAGCAGCCGAACCTAGCTGAATTTGAGCCTGAGAAAATACTTTCTGAGGCAAATGTGAGGGTCTCATTACAACTTACAAGCTTGAGCTTTGAGCTAAAGTTTAGGTTTAAATATTTAAATCATTAATTAGCCTAAGCCACACTGAAAATTAATTCATCACTTGGGGCCTGGATTGGATTAACTGAATTGCTTGTTATTTAATTTGAGTTTTAGTGAATAATGAATTAAATAGAGATGGGCTTGTCTTTCTCTTAAGGCTGCGTTTGGAAACGATGTAAATAGGTGTGAATGCAAATATGTAGAGTGTAAAACGGTTCATATAAATTGCAAAATTAGGTTAGTTTTGCACTGACAAATTTACCTTCTTACCAAACAGATTTTTAGCTGTAATGGATGCAAACATGAATTCCAATAAAGCACATGCTTTTTTTTATCAAAAGCCCACCTGAAAGAAAATTTACTTCTTTTTTATTGATTTACTTTTACATCTTATTATCAACGTAAATATGCATTGGTCTGTCATTTGTCAATATATAAATGTAATGTTGCCAAACACAAGCAAAAATGAACCAAAGTGTAAATTTACCCTAAACCAAAATTTACACTCCATTTGCATCGTTTCCAAAAACAGCCTAATTGCTGAATGACATATTGAGGGAGAATGCATTACCGTATATATATATATATATATATATATATATTTCAGCATATAGCTATTTTATCCACTAAAAGACAAACAAGTAACCAAATCAAATCAATTCAGCCAATCCAACACTAGTCAAACAGTGTGGGCAAAATATATGTAAGTATACTTTTAATTTTACATAATATACAGTTTTGGCATCTTAAATATGGCTTTATGAAAAGCAGAATCGATGTACAAAATAGTCAAATTTTGCATTGACTATTCTACTCTAGTTGGATAAGGCTAGTGATGATAATTAAGGACAACGATGATAATGAAGAAGGTTGATTTTAACTATCATCTACTTAATTATGCCTGAAAAAAAAAACCAAGCAGTATTTTTCAGAAAAAAGAACAAAAATACAATATATATTTATTTTACATCATAATGTACCCACATTTTTTCTTTCAGAGAGGATGTGCTAAGCAATCATCCTTCCATTTTTTTACTTTGCTTTATTTCTTATGATTTTGCATTAATGTTTCTAAGCTCTAACAACTGTACTCTTATTTCAACTTATTGATTAATTTGTTAGCTTTCATGATAGAGCTGAAAAAAAAATTATACTACTTACTTTGGGAAGTGGAATTTGTTCACACATAAGCTTTTGAAAACTAAAAAAAAAGAAAAACTATTTAATTGCAAATTTATTCTCCTGACAAAAACAAGACTAGCTATCCTCAACTCCAACCCTAATCGGGAATTCCTATTAATCCCCATCCCAGATCCCATCGGGTCAGGGAGATTGGATACCCAAAGGAAACGGAAAAAATTGCCATCCCTAACTATCAGAATAATTAAATGTTACTCCTATATTATTATATGAATACAAAATTTTCAAATTCCTACTTTCTACTTGGTCTTGTCCTTGCCAATCTTTCCAAAGATCGAATGAATAGCTACCGACTATATTGAAGGGCAGAAATGCTTTAGTGTCAGTCAAATTCCAAACGCTTTAGGGCATAAATGCTTTAACTACCGAGTAAGCAGTCAAAATGCTTTAGGGCAGCAATGACATACACAGTAACATTTTA